GTACAGGTATAAAAGGGAGGAACACCGTTTCCGAAAGTGGTTCGCGCGGTGTTCCAGTTGTAAAGATTTTCCGAGCCAGACGCAAACCGTGAAAGCCGATTATTTGTTTATTTTGACCGGTGTCGGTTCGCGCCATCGTCGGCTTTCCACCATATACATAGACTACGATTTGCAACCTTTCTACCTCCTCGTCTTTCCCTTCGTCTTTCTCTTCGTCTCCGCGTTACGATCGTGCACCGTGGAATGATACCGCCGAATCTTTGAATTACCGTTTCGTCTTTCAAACGAAACGGTTAGGCATGACGAACGAGACGAGTTACGAAGAAACGACGAGCGAAACTTGTATCGGGCTAAACTAATAACCATCTCTCATCCACAGCTGCGAGCGAAGGCTAGAAAATTAACTCGAAAATCCTCTCGACTTAATACCCCATTACGGTCTCGATGTGAATATAGTGGGGCACTGCTCACGACCTTCGACCTTTCGACGACTGATTTATTACTTCTCCGCTCCCTCTGCTTCTTCACGCACTTCTTTCTCGACTTTTCTCTCTCTCTCTCTCTCTCTCTCTCTCTCACTCTCACTCTCTCGCACTATAGCTCGATCGGTCGCGTTGTGCATCTTTCCTTCGAATACGTACTTACTTGCTCCGTTTATTGCCGTGAACTCGGTGAAACGAAATTATATTTAAACTGTACGGATCAGCTAAATCGATATGCGTCGATCTCGATGCAGTTATTACGTACTGTATCCATCCAGTTTTCGACAACGTCCGTCGACGAGCTTATCGATTCGGCCTGAAAGTATTTTTCCGTTTTATCGCATCTTAATCGTGAATTTCGATCGAGCATCGTCGTCTCGATTAACATCTCGCAATCGCGATCGAAGGAATGAAAGTGGAGCAACTGGTCATCGAAGCGTAATCGACCGATCGTCGTCGATTATCCTACGGAGGAAAGGTAGGAAAATGGAAAGAAAAGCCTCTTTGCGTGGTGAACGTGTGAGAGTTTGATCGTGGAATCGACGGATCGGAATCGCGTGTTCGAGGATGAAAATTTTGGAAGATCGGTTCATCGTGGTGGCGCTTAACCGTGTATATACGCGCGCGCGCGCGCACACACACACACACACACACACACACACACACTTTGGTTGGAACTGGAGAAGAAAATTTGTAGGACGAGTATATGTATGTATGGTTTAGTCAAGGGTAAAACGACGCGAGGGGGAGGGAGACAGAGAAGCATGTCCCATAGCGCGATCAGTTCCCTTCTCGTATTACGCCGCACGCAGTCTGCGTTTCGTTGTTCGCGGCTCATGACGGCTGACACGTCTCACGAGAGCCGTAGAAACGAACTCGCGTGAATCACGTGGAATGCATCGATGGAAAAGTCACACGAGTTTTCAGCGAGAATCCTCGAGTTTCGTAACCGTCCTTCCCTTTTCCCTTCTTTTTCGCCTTTTCTTCTATCGCCGCTTCTTCGTCGTTGCGACCATCGCGAATCGTTGCTATCGTACGATACGCTTTTCGCTGATCCTTCCATAATTGCCGACTCTCCAGATTCGTAGGCTTTTTTTTCTTTTTTCTTTCTCCTCGTTTCTCTGGTTGGACGTTGGTCCTAGGCCGTTGGTCGGAAAGTTAATGGAGCCAAACGAATCCGAGACCCGGGATGAAACCGTGTTGGACCTTGTTTGGTAAAAAACACGACGGAAATTCGACACCTAGCATTCTCGTAGATTTAGGGAATAAGCGTAGAATAGAATCTGGTTCTAAACGATCGCGATCGATTCGAATCGACCGATTACCGCTTTTTTCCACCGTTCCGTTTTTCCACCTTCCTACCGATTACGTGTCACAGAGCTCTACCTTCTACTGCATTTCCAGTAAACACGGTCATTGCAAACACGGCCAGTATTGTTTCGTTGCTCGAGGTGCTGTTAATGATTCAGTCACGGCCCACGTTTCTTCCCTATTATATTTTCTCTTTTCAAAGGTAAGCGCAGTCCGCTCGAATATTTGCTTTTCCTTCCTTTCTTCCTTCTTTTCTTCCCTCTTTTCTTCCTTACCCCCGTTTCGTTTCCTCCTGCTTGCATGTCGTTGTGGATTCTTCTCGTTACCCTGGTCGTATGCGTCAGCGGTGGACACATTCGCGCTCTTTATACGCATGTACATCCAGTTCCAGGTATGCATACACACACACACACGCGCGCGCGCACACACACACGCACACACACATATATATATATATATATATAGTCGAATACGGCCGTTGGGGAACGTTACCGGACGGGAAGAAGTTAGATGCGAGAAACGAATTACGAATCGATCGATCGAACGGATACGATGCGATATTCGCGGATCGGCGATTTACAAGTTAAATTTTTCAACGACGTCCGAGATACGGAAACGAAGAACCGCCGAGATAAACGAGGGTTACCGACCGCCTTCGTTCCTCCACGCTGTCGCGAGTATACGCGTACACACGCTCGTCGTTGCTCTCTTTTTCCCCAACCCTTCCGTTTCTCCAGTTTCACGCCATGTCTATTACGAAGCCACTATTATTCATTCCTCTCTGGATACTGCTGGACTGGATACGCTGGATCGTTTTTCGACGGGAAAGGCCAATGAATACGCTAACGGACGCAGAACGAACGTAGCCGCGAAGCGATAGGATAGTTGAGGATCGTGGTATCGAAAAATTGCCGTTTCACGGGAAGAAACGCTCGTGTGCTTTGGTCGCGTGCCGTTCCCTATCGTCTTATCGGAGTTATCGCTTTCTATCGGACCGCGGAGGTAATTTCGCGCGTTACGCCTTTTCTCGTCTCTTTTCTCTCTCTCTCTCTCTCTCTCTCTCTCTCTCTCTCTCTCTTCCCTTCGTGTCGAGACAACGACGAGATTTTCGCCAACAGCGCAACAATCGGTGAGATTTCCTACTCGGTCGGAATGCACCTGGCTGGTTCCTTATCGAACGAGCCGAGAAAAAGATCCGAGTTTACACCGGAACGTGAACCTGGACGACAGAAATCTCTCTCTCTCTCTCTCTCTCTCTCTCTCTCTCTGCGAGGAACGTATTTCGGTGTCTCCACAATGCCGCGATTGTTCTATCGCGTACACACCACGCGAGCGAAAGAAACGTGGTTCGCGATTTAAACGTCGCTCGGGTGTGGTACCCGGTGAAACAGCGGGTCGAAATGGAGAAAAAATATTCGGATAGTCGGACTAGGACCCTGCGTAAAGAAAGGCGAGGAGGAATCGGGTGGAGGGTGCAAAGGGAGAGGACGAAAAAGGGGAGAAGAGGATCGAGAAGGTCGAGATAAAGAGACTATTCAATCTTTGAAAATCTCGTCGTAAACCGCATCGATGTGCGGCGTCTTGGCCGTCTCTATACGTTGCGAGGATAACAGTGAACGTTTTTATGGGGCCAAGGAGATAAGAGCAACCTCTGCCCCCGTTGTACAAAACGTCTTCCGCTCGACCAACGAATCGGAATCTCTTTCCTCGCTACCATTTCTATGGAGAACGTTAACCTCGTTTCTTTGGTCGACAGCGCGTCGTAAAGAAAACGGTAAAGAAGACGGTAAAGAAGACGCGAGGAGGAAAAAAAGAAGATGGATCGAACGGATTTTTCTCCGAAAACGAACGAGGCGCGATCTGCGAACGGCAGACGAAGGAAACCGAAAAGTCCTATATCGCGATATCTTCCATTCGATTTTCGGAATACGCGAAACGCGCGATAAAGGGGGTGGGAGAGAGAGAGAGAGAGAGAGAGAGAGAGAGAGAGAGAGAGAGAGAGAGAGAGAGAGTTGGGTTTCTCGATGCGAGCAAGACAGAGTATACTTTGCGTCTCGTCGACCGCGTATTTTCTTCGTTAGGAGTGATTAATCGGGGTCGTGGCTTCTGCGTCTCCGCGACTCTGCACCTCTGCCCGTTCTCTCTTCGCTCGCGACTGATATATACGCTTCACTCGACTCGATTCGATTTCGATCGGTTCGATTCGATCGCGGTGAAATCGAGCGTGCGCCATAACGGAGCGTTACGTACGATGATCAGAGGAGAAAAGCTGACCGAACACGGTCCTGCGGCGGCGCGAAAAATCCTATTATGCACCATTCGTGTTTTTACCGAGAAATATGTTCTTTTCTCCCTCTCTTTTTTCTCGCCAATAGAATTCACGGCGAGACGAAGAAACGTGAGATAAACCAACGAGCCTGACCTTTCCAATTCGATTAGGTAATGTCAATAAGGTCGGTTGAATGTTAAACGGTTGATACAGTGAGCCTTTGGGGGAAAGATATCGGTACGTTTCGGTCGTCCGTCTACGAGCATCGGTCTACGATAGGCTTGCGCGCGCGCGCGTCCCTTTGCCATTTCGACGTTTCAGTCGTCTGTTTCTTAAGGGGAATTGTTTCAAAGTCGAATCTTTGGATTTTCCGATCCAGTTATTCTTCCAATTCTGCTACACTTCTCGCGTATCCCCCTGTTCTTTTCTTTTTTCCCGCTTCGAAACGATTCCCTAATCTCACGGACGCGCATCGTTCGACGTTGAAAGAAAGATGGAGAACGACGAGGAGGAGTTTGCCGATTTTTTCGTAACGGGTGAAATTTCGGAAACGAGGTACGTGGATTTCTTCGGAGCGGATGGATGTTCTTGCCTTCTCTCTCGAGTGCTTGTCCGTCCCTCTGTCCGTGGAACACGCGAGGTATCGCGCGTTTCATCCGTCCGATCGAGCTGAAAAATATAAAGACGCGAGCACGCGAGGCATCGTACAAGGCGAAGAACCGTGTACGAGGAGAATACGCGCGAGTTTGTACGATCGCTAACGAGCTATAGATAACGACGATTGGTTATTTTTGTAACGTCTACCGCTTAGCAACAGTTTGCTCGTGTGGTCGACAACGCATCGAGCGTATGACCACTTTCTCCATCTAATCGATCGCGATTCCATCCACGCGATTACCATATTATCGTTTCGATGCCAACGATTCGGCGATCTTTCTCGCTTCGATGTTCTCAGAGTCGACCGAATACCACCTGCTCGGCCAATCGCTGGTACACCACGAGAGAAACGAGCAACCGATCTCTGCCGGACGTATCGGTGGTAAAAACGGCGTGGAAACGATCGGTATGTTACTCGGAACCAAGCTTACGATAGCGGCGAAACTTTTTCGACAACCATTGCAACAACCACCGCAACAACCACCGCAAGAACAACGACGACAAAGAGGATC